TTTCAGAAAAATCGTACCTGGGGATGAGGAGAAAAAAGCCAAAAACTAAAAATAGCACTGTTTGATTTTCGACCGTAATAGGCTAAACATTTAAAAAATCTTAAAATAAAATACACGGTTAGAATCTAGGATAATCCATTATATGAAAAATACAGTTAAATTGACGTAATAGCTTTGCGAAGGGAATAAAATTGTCCAAAATTCGCTCTGAATTAGTTTGGTTCCACTTTAAGCTGATGCTACACGGGACTATTCGCAACGGCGATTTTTCGCGATACGACTCGTCGATTTTTAATACAAGTTACAGGAGCCAACTTTTCGCGCAACGTTCGTTCGTAAATCAACCTGCTACAATGAAGAATTTTAAGCGATTTTTAAAAGTAACAACATCGTCCTCAGTCCTCGCGTAGTCTCTTTCAAAACCGCCATCTTATTTGTTGACATCGCCTCGCTTGTATTAGAGTATTGAACTGCAATTTGGGTATGCCTTGTGCGAAAAATCGTTGATGAAGCTGTTACACGAATCAACTTTCGAGGGATTCGCCATTCTGCATGCGTTGCGAGTTTTTGGAGCTGAATCTAAGACTTGCAACGCGTTGCCGAATCTTTTGCGAATACATAATATAGAGATTTCGTGTACAATGTGATCTATTGCCTTGTGACAGTTGTCAATCAATGTCACTACTAAATTATCAAAGTGATCGATTAGGGGTGTGGCTGCGTATCMCTTGTGGAAAATTAATGTCTACGCATGCTCTTTCGCCGTTAGTTGCTGACATTCAAGGCTCAGCGCCGGATTAGGAATTAATCGGGTGGTATTAACAAGAAAGTTCAAGATGCCGCGAAAGATATTTCTTTTATTAACGAGTTCGCCAAAGGCAGTTTGATCATTGACGAGTTTCCATATCATATCGCGAACAGCGATTCCGCGAGAGTTGATCGCCCTAAAAACGCGTAATGAAATAATATATTGTACCTTTGTCCTCCACTGAGTTCATTCAAGCTTTCTTTCCATACTGTCCCAAACCCGACCTTGACCTCTAGACCGTCCAGTTCAGTCTGACCCTCGGGTGGAGCGAGTTTAGCCGTAGCACCGGGGAGTAGGGTGGARAATATCGAACCAAAATCCTATAGAACACAATAACCAGCATTTTAATATAGAAAAGCCTTTTTTATATAGTGCATTTAGGAAAAGGAAGGGAGGAAATATCCGTTTGCATTATCGCGCCATTTTATTTTTGCCAAGAGCAAATGACGTCACTGAATGCCGCCATGTCGAATATTTGTCTTTTTTTTAATATATTGACCGATATGGCGGCCATGTATTTTTTACTTTTATTCTCAAGATGCRCACTCCATTTTACGATTTTCACGATGCTCCGTGAATTTCTTACTTATTTACACGATTGTTGACTCATGACAATATTTTGACGAGGCTAAAATGAGGACAACCTTGAGTAAAAAGTCTGTAATCAATGAAACACAGCAGTATTGAACGAGTTATGGACTATTTCTAAATGTTTGGCGATTCAGAGGCTATTGCTTCCTTGATCCCCCCGCTCCTTTAACCCCCCTCCSCCACTTTGCTGGACATAGACCTTTTTTAAGATAGCGAACATGGTGCATGGTGGTCTAGCTTAGGTACAAACAKYTTGCCTTATATGGTKTTGCTTGTACCGAATCTAGACCACAATGCATCCTGTTTATCGAACTCAGAAAAGGCCTATGTAACTTACCTTGTTGACTTTAACCCAGGCATTTCGCAAAGCCTCGTTCTTTTTCTCGTCGAGTTCTTGAATGACCGCTGCGATCTTGTCTTTGTCGTTCAACACGATTCTTTTCTTCTTCATCAAGTCATTATACTGCACCGAAGGAGAAAATGAATATGAAATTCAAATGTTGTCTTGCAGTTCCAGTGAAGGCTTGGATTTTGGTTAACGTTTTATCAGAAAGTGAAAAAGATTACCAAATTYGATGGAGAAGTGAAGGCCGAAAAGCGAAGCATCGCGAATCGATAGACCCCTTGCACTCATTCGCAATCTGCGGGCCAAAATATTTTAAGCATTCCCTTCTCTTGAGGATTGAAATCTTTTATGATCTTAATATGTTCAATTGTTTTGACCCCCAGGTAGGGGTTTAGTGCAAGGAGTTTATACCGATATCTCAGTGAGGTATTCCATCACTTCTAAATTCTTAGTGTAAGTGAGRCAATAGACTTCTTTATCTTGGACGTCAAGTTCTCTCCATTTCCGACCACGTGTCATTTTGAGTKGTATCCATATTTATATGTCTTCTCATGCACAAYCGTTAAAYAAAGAAATGATACCTTAGGGAATGACAGGTGGTCTGAAATAGGAAAATATTACACCCAAGGTAGAGGTCTATGAAGTACCTTTCCTTCTGCTTTTTCCAGCATGTTCATRGCTCTCATGGTTCTTACATTYACTYATTACAACAGMCCTAATCTGACCAYTCGCCATTCCCTAGAGTATCATTTYTTTGTTTAAYGGTTGCCYATRAGAMGACAMRTGAATATGGATASRACTCAAACAAAGAATCTTAYTCTCMAGASAATGACACGTGKTCTGAAATGGGAAAACGCTACRCCCAAGGTCAAGAGGTCTATAAAGTACCTTTTCTTCTGCTTTTTCCAGCATGTTCATAGCTCTCATATTCACGTTCTTGCCCAGCTTGTCCTTAGTTTCTTGTAGCTTGGCCAAGTGTTTGCCAACATCCTTCATGTCATTGGCAGCAAAGTCATAGAAMGTGTTGGGTTGTCCAAAGAACTGACGTTCGCTGGAGATCCATTCATACTTGGCTAACATGCTCTCMACCTATAAAGTAACGATTTTTGAAGTAAAAAGAAAAAAGAAAAGAATAAAAKATTTTCAATAGCTGAATTCGAAAAACAAATACACCATGATCAGAAACTCATAARTCTTATTATTTCATAGTAAAATACAGGGTGAAAATTTGGTGGGAACACAAAGTTTTCAAGGGCACCTGGCTATGTGAATATCATTGAAAGGATATGAAGGAACGAGGAGAAAGGTTTCGTAAAGAGGGGTCTGTGTTAGTTCGGTATCAAAACGAATAGACCTAATTCRTCTTGGTGCAATTTCAGACACGTGTCATTCTCTAGAGTATCATTTTTTTGCTTAGTCGTTGCGCATGAGAAAACAYATGGATATAGATACAACTCAAACAATGAATCTTATTCTCTAGGRAATGAGACGTGGTCTGAAATCGGTAAACATYGCACCAAGACGAATAAGGGCTATTTCCATTAAAGAACACCAACTGCAATTGACCGTTTTCTCAAGGTTGCGTGCGCATCCAAATTTAAGRAACTTGGCCGGCCACGATACAAGAACACGAGTATTATCATGCAGTGCTATGAAATTTTTWAAGATAAAAATTCAAAATTCAAAATCGATTATTCACCTCTTTAAATATTAAACTGTCTTCTCAATTTTACTGAATTTGCRTTTTTCAGTTTTGTGGCCCGTCAAGTTGGATGCGCACGCAACCTTGAGAAAAAGGTCTATTCAATGCAAAACGACAGGTCAACTCGTGACACATTTTTATCTCACACCAAGCTGCCATACATATGGATATGGTGCAGAGCAAAAAGGTATTCGAATTCCAAGGAATAAAGGAAAAACTAGGTCGAGTTGGCATTGCACTGCATTGTGGGATTGCTCAAGGGGTACATTTTCACGACGGCGTCTATTTTGTCCCTAAAACGTCCCACAATGCACTGCAATGCTAGCTCGGCCCATTTTTTTCATTGACCTTGGAAAATCTATTAGTGCTACGAAACGTTTTCTATTTTTGGTYGATTTTAAAATCTAACCAGTATCACCAACCTTGTGTGCAGCTTCTTTGCTTTCTTTCTGAAATTTCACGAGCTTGTGGTCCAACTCTTTSAGTTCTAGTTGTGCTTTAGAACTCCCTGCCTGGAGGTCTCTCTGGGCTGACACTTTCTCACTTATAGCCTGGGGGTATCAATATTTATAATATATTATAATATTACTCTATACTGCATGACGTAGTATACCAATACCGGTATAACAGTCTTGCCTTCATTCGATCACCGAGATCTTCTGTATGTTCCTCGTACAACCTCACATAAACATCGCAACTCCCCAAAAGGCAGACACTTTACAATGTTATGTAACCTTGAACCAGGACCAGATCCAGACCGCTTTAGCATTTTTCCCGAAAATGACGATGACGATGATGATAATGACGATGATGATAATGATGACGGTGATCATGCTGGTGGTGATAGTGATGATAATGATGATAGTGATTATAATGATGATGGTGATAATGATGCTGGTGGAGATGGTGATGATGATGCTGGTGGTGATGGTGTTGGTGATGATGATGGTGATGATGATGCTGGGGATGATGCTGGTGGTGATGGTGATAATGATAATAAATGATGATGATGATGAATGATGATAAATGATGATGATAAATGATGATAAATGATATTGATAATGATAAATGAAGTTCTAAGACAATGATGATGATAAGGATGAAGATGATGATGGTCTTTATCTAAAGTGGGTACAACATATACAGTATAGACAACTAAAGCTGGTTATCGCTTTGGTGTTCAAGTATCGTAATGTCTACCTTGTTGTAAGTCTTGAGTGTCTCTTTTTGTTTATTCAGCTCTTCTTCAGCATCTTGGACAGCTTTCTGGAGACAAAACCACAAATGACAAAACCATTCAGTCATAACTTTATTTTCACCTATTAACGCCTGTTATTTGAGAACTTTATATATATAGATTATGAATTCTTTAAAGTGGYTTTAAGATGTATTTTAAATTCCAGGAGGTCCCTCTTAAATTTTCAAAATTTATCAATACCTGAAACAGCCTTTGGGCTGATCTAACTCAGGGAACGACTACTTCAAAGATCAAATTGGAATTTAGCTTGTAAGGTTTTACAGAGGGAGGAAAACTATAGACACCGGGGAAAACCCTCAAATCACGAGAAAGACCTAACAAACTCTACTCAGGGGTGTTGATAAGTCCAGGAATCGAACCAGAGACCCCAGAAGTGAGAGGTATGTGCACTACCGCTACGCCACCCATGATTCTTAAAGGTAATAACTATTTATACTCATTTGAATGTTTTACCCACAAATGGATGATTGTTGAGTAGATATAACATTGAATAATACAGGTAAAATCTTGTTATTAAACAGTGTATTAAAACCTTGGTCTGTTTGACATTCTCCTCAAGACTTGCTACTTGTTCTTCAATCTTCATTATGCCTTCATCGATTTTCTTCATCTTGAAAAAGTAATTTTAAGACATTAATAAGTACAACAGAATGATCTTCTATAAACCTTAATAGGGTACTCTTACCCGTTTAGGGTAGGGATGTGCTGCTGAGCCCTGACCCTGCTCCAGAGTAAAATCGGTGAAAATCATACCCTTTTCCAGAGTAAGATCGCTGAAAACTATACCATGTTCCGGTATTACGAAAATAGATACCCTGTTCCAGAGAGGAGAGAGAGCGTGATTTCATATACCCTGTCCCAGAACGAGCACGATTTTATACACCCTGTTCCAGAGTAGAATCGCTGAAAACCATACCCTGTTTGGCAGCATGTACTTGTATAGCAAATATAGGGGAGTACCCCCCCCCCCCCAGATGTCATCAGGGTTTTCATTAAGGGTTGGAGATCGCACAATGATCTGGTAACTGAGCAAAATTCTCCGGCCATAATGAACCTCTTCTACTATATAAAACTTAATGAAAACCCTGCCAGGACTTTCCAGTTAGTTCATGATCTTCTCCTAGTATTTCAAAACTGGACAAAAACCGAGATTGAAAGCGGGACCTATATCAATATTTTAGTTTCTTTACCTGTTCCTCTGCATTTGAAGATTCTTTGASCATTTCATCCATTTCGAGTTTTAGTCCGTCAACTTCCTAAAAATCAATGAATTAAACAGTTATTATTTGAAGCTAACACAAATCCAAAGAATAGAGTATTGTTTGCTTTAGGTACGGACCATTAGATTCTTAGAGAGGGGAGGGTGGTGGGCAAAAACCAAAAAAAAAAAAAAAAAACTTTTGAGCACAGCTTTAAAGAGTGAAAAAAATTGTAATAAGAAAAAGTAGATAAATTGTAAATAAGAAAAGTGCCAGAAAAAATTCCTGCACAGCCATGAGGCATAAAAAAAATTCCTGCACAAAATAAATTGCCCAAACCCCCCCAAAAATCAGATGGTCCGTCCCTTAGATCAGGATGCAGAATATTGAAAGGGACTAAGACCACTATTTGTGTGAGCTTTATCAATATTTTCTTCTAAAGCATCTAAAGCAGAATGAACACCAAATGTTCAATGTAAACCATTCTAATATAATCTTCCAACCTGTTGTTTGGTCTTAGTTTCTTTGATTGACTGCTCTGCTTTCTTCTTGGCCTTGTTCAAGTCTTCCTCTGCTTTCTTGAGTTCTTTTTCTCTGTATGTCTTTGCTTCCTACATGTCGTTGAGTCAAAGAATAAAAATAACTTAAAAACCCAGTCACGGTGTCAAAATGGTGCAAAGTCCAGGGCAAGTCATGCAACGTTGTGCTTCTTTGGGGCTGATGTAATGGATCTACATCGTATGTTTAGATCATAATTTATATTTTTTATCAGTTTGTAATGCGCGTGTGAGCATCTTCCTATGTAGCACGCGCAATATAAGTATCAATCTATTTATTATTATTTTTTACCCCAAATAGGGTCCCCAAAACTTTTTGTGGGTTCCTATATATTTTTGTAGGTGCCGAGTTTTTTGTGCAGACCCTTATGCATGAATTTAAAACAAAGTAAACGACCAGAAGATAAGTCTTAAAAATAACTAAAAGAATAAAAAAGTAAGTTGCTTGTGGGAGTGAACTTTTTATTGAAGAGTTTCAATGGTGGTCATAACTAGATCTGGTCACAAGGAGAGCTTTCACTAATAAATATATGAATAATTTTCTATTCATTACTTTACCTTCATCTTCTCTTCAATGTCTTTGCACTTTGCTGTAGCTGCAGCAATAGTTTCTTTACCTTTGGATATGATTTGTTGCTGTTCCTCTGCATTGCAAATATATATTAAATAAATCAAATTTTATCAAACTGTGAAACAACCTCACTCTACGCTGATCAAACTCAGGATACCTGTAGTTAACTTAAATGCAAATATTTTTGTATTAATCATTTGTTAAGTTTTGCAGAGGGAAGAAAGCCAGGGAACCTGGAGAAAAGTGTTGTAGGTTGGAGATCTGAAACTGAAATGAATTGTGGGATGAACTGTGCTAACACGTTGTTTGACTAAGTGTATTTTGATTTTTTAACAAGAAAACACTTAGTCCCAACGACTCCAATCGGTCTCAGATTTCAGAACTCCGACGGAYGTGTTTTTGAAATAGGTGTAATTATTTGATAATACTGTTGTCAATAGTATAACCAACCAATAGAGTTCTCCAAGGCTTTGATCTCCTCTAGTTGATGGTGGTGGGTGCTTTGYTTCATTCTTGTCTGTGCTAGTTCTGCTTCATGAACCTTTAAGTCATACTGTTGCTTCAGCTGTTGGTACCTAGGAAAAAAATCCATATTCAACAACGAAATTCAACTTTAGCATGTTATTTTTTGAGGAAAACTAAGAGAACAATCCTCGAATCAAGGTATAAAAAGTTGGCCGCACAATGACTAGGTGACCATGGACTGTTGTGGTACTGCTGAAGACTGTGGGGTTGTCCAAGAGGACATCTGTTCTTGTGTTTTACCACAGGGAAGACACAAAAGACCTCTGCTCAAGTGTGAAGCCAAGCCTATCAGGGTTTTCATCAAGGTAGAATGCCCCAGAAACTTAGCCAAATTCCCCAACATAAACTATCATTTACTGCCAACCGGTTGGCTTAGTTGAGCATCAGACTTCTGTGCGGGAGGTTGGGGTCCGAGTCCCGGCCAGACTAACACTCAGGGTCTTAAAATAACTGAGGAGAAAGTGCTGCCTTTGTAATTACATCTGCAAACTTTCAAGTGGCTCTAGATGACCACTTTAAATGGCCGTCTCATCTYTCCACACTCATCATTACTAACCAACATTGGAGGAACGTAAAAGAACCACTGAGGACGTAAAGAAACCCTGGCAGTGACTACCCTCATTGCCTACACTTCATACTAACCATCTCTCATGCTTGTAAAATTGCATAAAAGGAATYTGTCATTCACAACTCAATGTAAAGCACCTTTGATTATATCCACATAGAAAGTGTGTTATATAAATCACAAATCATTATCATTGGCAGCTTAGTAATTTGTAGTTGGACTCTCCAGCTAGTTAATGAACTTCTCTTATTATTTCAAAATCTCATGAAACCCCTGGTCCGTGGCTTAAACCTGAGGCCAACTGATATGATATGATTATGATATTTATATAGCGCTCTTTTCCATATGGATAAGTTCAAAGGCACTTTACAATGATTTATGAATGACAGATAGATAGTATGAGGTGTAGGCACTGAGGGTGGTCACTGCAAGGGTTTCTTTACGTCCTCATTGGTTCTTTTACATCCCTCCGATATTACATACCAAGTTTAGATAAAATTACAGTAATAAAAGTATGAAATTCCTAGAATTTTTCAATGACACACAAAGGATTTGCATCCTCCCTGATCAAATGATCCTAAACTTCAAAGTTCTTCTTACTTGTCAGCCACACTTTTACAGTTGTTTAGTTCCTTGACTACTTTCTCTAGTTCATTGGATTTCTCCTTCAGCTYGTCTTGTGCTTCTTTGAGCTCTTCAAGCTTGGCAAGGATGGAAACAGAGGAAGATCTGGCACCTGGAATCATTAATAGTAAAAATTACATACAATAACATACTTTTTTACATTGGAAAATTTGTAAATTCTTTACTTTAAATTTAAATTTAAAAAATAGAATTAAATATCTTTCAGTTAGTTATTGACTGTTTGTACAACTTGAGTTTTTTTACTGAATAAGGGAACAATCATTTTTTACGGGCGGAGGTGGTGGGGGGAAGGAGTGGTGGGATTGGGGAAGGGGGGGGGGGGGGCAAGTAAAAAATATGCCATTTGAGGGGGCAACCAAAAACAATTAGCTCAGTATAAAATTTAGTTTTAAAAATTATCCTATTCTAATAAGGGGTAAAGTAAAAGACATTCAGGCTGGGAAGGGGTTGTGACTGGCAGGYTGAGTGAGCGAGCAGCATACACCTTGGGGCTGTGTAACTAGCTGTCTAATGATTACTTTATGGGGGTATCATGTCTAATTGATTGCCGCATGGCCAATTTACTGTGTGATTGAATGATTCAACCAATTTACTGATTGATCTTACTAATGTGTATGACATTGAACATACCTCCAGTCAAGGTTCCTGCAGGATCAAATACATCCCCATCAAGAGTGACGGTTCTTGTCTTTACTTTAGGGTCAAATGTTACCTGATAAAATAATGAGAGTCTTCACTCACACTCTTTCTTATAATGGATCAAATGCTCTTCCACATAATGTTTTCCCAATTTAGACCAATTGTGTCATTCATTAGAGTATCATTTCTTTATTTCATATGGATACGACTCAAACAAAAAACTTTAGTCATTATCTAGRGAATGACATATGGTCTGAAATGGGTATTGTAAACATCACAACCAAGTTGCTAAATTGGTCTATTATGGGGGACAATTAGGATACAATAAACTGAGTAAGCCTGAGTATGCCTGAGGATGAGGATGWCACAGGCAATTCCTTTTTTAGCTATGCTGATACATCTTTTTAAGGCGCAGACAGAGGGTGCAACATTACACGCAAGAAATTAGAATTGGGGTGACACATGTTGCAACAAAACCATGCAATATCGCTTTTGTCAGTCAGACAGGAAGTCCAAGTGATGATATAAATAAACCTACCTTTTTAGCATGATCTATGGTGTCGCACACTAATGTAGAACCAAAGACATAAGCAATGGCTGCCTTGACTTCACTCTCATAACCCACCAAAGAAAGAGCCGAGTTGACACTGTCTTTACCAACCTAAACATAACGTACAATAAATGAAGGAATAAGTGAGTAAATGAATCAACAATGGAGGACTTGAATAGATGAATGAGAGAAATTCAAACTAAGAAATGGTATCAATTGAAAGAATATTTGACATACCAAATCCTGAGCCCTGCTAACCACCTCATTAGGCAGTGTCTTGTGAGAGATCTTGTTCAATGGTATGATAGTGTATCGTCTCTTCAACTGTCCATTCTGAAGCAGTTTTTTTCCTGTTGTTTCTGAGTCTACTACAACATTGTACAGCTGTATGGAACAATGAAACAAGAAGAGATGTATCCATTCAGTAAACTTTAACTTCTATGCTAATCTAAGTCAGGGCATGGCTAACTCACAAATTGAACNAGTATAAAATTTAGTTTTAAAAATTATCCTATTCTAATAAGGGGTAAAGTAAAAGACATTCAGGCTGGGAAGGGGTTGTGACTGGCAGGTTGAGTGAGCGAGCAGCATACACCTTGGGGCTGTGTAACTAGCTGTCTAATGATTACTTTATGGGGGTATCATGTCTAATTGATTGCCGCATGGCCAATTTACTGTGTGATTGAATGATTCAACCAATTTACTGATTGATCTTACTAATGTGTATGACATTGAACATACCTCCAGTCAAGGTTCCTGCAGGATCAAATACATCCCCATCAAGAGTGACGGTTCTTGTCTTTACTTTAGGGTCAAATGTTACCTGATAAAATAATGAGAGTCTTCACTCACACTCTTTCTTATAATGGATCAAATGCTCTTCCACATAATGTTTTCCCAATTTAGACCAATTGTGTCATTCATTAGAGTATCATTTCTTTATTTCATATGGATACGACTCAAACAAAAAACTTTAGTCATTATCTAGGGAATGACATATGGTCTGAAATGGGTATTGTAAACATTACAACCAAGTCGCTAAATTGGTTTATTATGGGGGACAATTAGGATACAATAAACTGAGTAAGCCTGAGTATGCCTGAGGATGAGGATGWCACAGGCAATTCCTTTTTTAGCTATGCTGATACATCTTTTTAAGGCGCAGACAGAGGGTGCAACATTACACGCAAGAAATTAGAATTGGGGTGACACATGTTGCAACAAAACCATGCAATATCGCTTTTGTCAGTCAGACAGGAAGTCCAAGTGATGATATAAATAAACCTACCTTTTTAGCATGATCTATGGTGTCGCACACTAATGTAGAACCAAAGACATAAGCAATGGCTGCCTTGACTTCACTCTCATAACCCACCAAAGAAAGAGCCGAGTTGACACTGTCTTTACCAACCTAAACATAACGTACAATAAATGAAGGAATAAGTGAGTAAATGAATCAACAATGGAGGACTTGAATAGATGAATGAGAGAAATTCAAACTAAGAAATGGTATCAATTGAAAGAATATTTGACATACCAAATCCTGAGCCTTGCTAACCACCTCATTAGGCAGTGTCTTGTGAGAGATCTTGTTCAATGGTATGATAGTGTATCGTCTCTTCAACTGTCCATTCTGAAGCAGTTTTTTTCCTGTTGTTTCTGAGTCTACTACAACATTGTACAGCTGTATGGAACAATGAAACAAGAAGAGATGTATCCATTCAGTAAACTTTAACTTCTATGCTAATCTAAGTCAGGGCATGGCTAACTCACAAATTGAACCCTAAAACAACCTCTGGACTGATCAACGTCAGTTCATGGCTAACTCACAGATCGAACCCTGGAACAACCCCTGGGCTGATCTAAGTCAGGGTATGGCTACATGTAACTCACAAATTGAACCCTGGAACAATCTTTGGGCTGATCTAAGTCAGGGTATGCCTAACTCACAGATCGAACCCTGAAACAACGTCTGGGCTGATCAAAAATTAAACCAAAAAAAAAAAACAGAGTGAAATTTTTAAATAGATATTTTTGATACAAGATCCAATACTAACCCTTCCACCTGCTGCTACTTCTAGGCTTGTTGCATTCTTTACATCTTTAACTTTGATTAACTGTGCTACTAGACCCTTGACCTGAAAATACAGATGTCAAGCTTGTCACTTTTAAGATTAAAATTCAAAGTTACTTTCAAGATTTCAAAATTGAATGTAGCTTCAATGTGAATTTCATACAATAGTCCCCTTCACAGTTCCCTGCACCATCTTGAAAGGTAAGCCGTGACATTGCATCAAAGTGAGACGAAWGGTGAGYTTGCAATGATAGAGACATGTGAATAATTGTCCAAGGTGTTGAAAAAAGGTCTCTATCATTGYGACTTTTATTTGTCTYGCTTCGACACAAAGGCACAGCTACCTTAATTATTTMAAATGTACCTTCTTTCTGTCAAATTTTGGTTCTGGATCTTTGTACTCAAACTGCAGGTTAGGAAATCTAAAAACAAATTCGAGACAATTATTTTCTAGCTTTGATTAAAGCTCAGCAGGCAGAATAAAATTTTTTATTTTGTAATTTGCTACTAACTACAAACTTACTTTGCTTCAAGAGTTTCCACTTTAGTCCTCAGGTTTGAAACTTCAGATTCCAGTTTTCGTCTAATGAAAATAAATAATTGAAAATTGTAAAATTAATATAACTGATAACTGTAAAAATACTCATCAAAACGAATTTCTGAAAATGTGCATCTTCTACATTACAAAAATTGAAATAAATAACAATTTGTTGAGAAACAATGTGTYATTTTCTGCCTTCTACTCACGCAACTGAACTTTCTGTTGCTAGCAATTGCTTGTGGACAAAATTGCTCCATGTAACACCCCCATGAAACTTGTCTTGCAATTGCCGCTGCACTCAAGTTTCAGCTAGTACAATGTTCATATGTAACAGTGCCTTAAAGACTACTACTTACTTTTGAGCTACCAACTTTTCTTCTTTTCCATCTTCATAATTAAGTTTATTGAGTTCAGTCTAACAATGCAAAGATAATAAAATCAGATTACATTATGCAGARCTAAAGCAACCAAACTACAAAAATATTTTTTCCAGTGGGTTACTAGAAGTTCGTAAAACCTTATRTAATACTGTACTTTCAGCTCATGCCTAATTATCTTTGACATTTACTGCAGTTTTCCATTGGTAGTCACAAGTCTACTGTACATGCTCAGGGGTTAAAGTATTGGCTGGTAAGTTGTTGGCCATTAGTTTTAAATTAGTTTTTGCTCTGTCATACCTTGTTTTTGGCTCAACGCTACTGGTCAAAATGACTGGCAAGGCAAAGATTTGACCAGACAACTTCCAATTCTGGGCAGACATTGTTAAATGTCTGGCCGTTATTTTAAGCCCTGCATGCTGAAATTTGATTTTTCACTGCCGCCAATGAAAATTAATTTGTCGGTACATTTTATATTCTCGACTGGCGTTAGTGAAAAATCAATTTCACAACGAACTGTTGAAATGTTGAAGTTCGCAGAATATCAAAAACTGCAGCAATAGTTTTTACTGTTTTTTTACCTCTAGCTTTGATTTACTCTTTTCAATGGTGTCAAAGGCCTTCTTGTCTTTCTCATATTCTTGTTCTGTGGCTTTTAATTCCGATTTCTTTTTCTTGAGTTCTGCTTGACAGTGCTTTATTCTACAAGATTAGTGCACACATTTAAAATGTGATTAATATAGTGAGGGAAAGAGAAATACAGTAATATTCATTCACTGACTATCAATGATGAAATTCTTACTTCATTTGTGCCTGTTTTGACTCTGTTTCTGCAGCACTGATGTCTTTCTTACTGGCTGAGAGATTATAAAGTGTATAATTATTTAG